GTAGCCGAGAAATAGATTTGATTGTAGTCAATGAGATGGGGAGAGGACAAAGCTCGGTCAAGGCTTCGTTTATTTACATCATGCAAAGTGCATCGCGTTCACATCGTCGTCGAGACGCACGATGCATGTTATCGCAAAGGAGTCTGATTTCCCGCAAAGGTCCCAGCACGGATTACTTTCACCTCGACAATAGTCGCGAATCAATTAGAATCATTTTAATGGCGAGCGCATTAAATGTTACAGAGATTTTATTTCAAGTAAAATGAAAAGTGTTATTCTTATATTTTAATATAACTAAAAGGAAAAAAGAATATTATAAAAAGCAGTGATAAAAATAGAAATGACGCACGTTGTTCGCTGTAGCAAGAGTAAAGTAAAGGGACACGAAGTGGAAATAGATAGATCGAACAAATTCAATCTCAATTTCCAATCCGATGTCTATGAAGTGTCTTTTCCTAAACTATGACAAGCAAAAGTCTGCAAGACACCCATGTGGTTATCGCTTTATTTCCAATTTTCTCGCGCTACTCGCAACATCTGTTATTTCGCTCCCGGGTATAAGACATAGTCATAGTTGGAAACGAGGTTTTAATTAAACACGGTCCCGAAGTGACGCGACGCAGCATCGCGGCGGCTCATCAGACGCGCCGAGATTCACCGCGTTGCAGCAGTCTACGAAGGTGCACTTCCGCGCAAATGTGTGTCACGGGTTTCCCACGAGATGTACCGGCGAATGGCGGCATAGGCGCGGGCATAGACCAATTACTACGATCGAGGAGATTTCTCGTTGACTCGCGCGATTTGCGTGGAGAGCCGATCGGTCGCCCTGGAAAAGAACACGCCATGTGTCGCATTTAATGACGGTCACGACGATGAATCGGCGTCAGAGCCGGCGATTATTCAGCGGATTACCGATGTTCGCATAACTGTTCAGGCAATACGTCATATCGCGATCCATTTAATCCTCGACTCTCAATAGTCCACATTAAGTCCTTGGTTACGTGACCTTCCGATAAAAATTCGTAAAAGCTCGAGGAAAACCGCAGCAAAGGATGATAAATTCCTGATAAATTTAGATTGATTGCTGACAAAGATTTTTCTGAAGATTATTTAGACAAAAGAAAAAATTCTGTCTCGAAGACACCGGGAATATTATAAAAAAAAATTTAAATGCTTATGGCTAGAAGTCCGATCTTGCGTCCGAGAATTTTGAAATTGTTGCCAAGAAACGTCAAAGTGCATTTTGCGAAGATGCACTGGCCAAGTTCGGCTGTTCAGCTGGCGAAGCGCTCCTCGCCTTCAGGCACGCTAGGACGGCAGTGGCGAATAAGTGGCCGATTGCGAGGGGTAAATGGAGTCATGGTTTGCTCTCCAACGTCGGGGCCAACAAGAACGCCGGCGAGAGATGCAACGGTATACATCATAACATTCCCACGGCCGGGCGTCTCTACCGACCGAGATGCGTCTCGAGAATCACGTCTTGCGTGACTAATCGTGGCTAAACAACGACGCGTACAATCCGCAGGATTGTATAATACTTTCGGCGCGATGCGCTTCGTTTGCTCTTTCCCGTTCCCATGTAGTTGAAAATCACGGTCTTGTTTTACGGTCGCGACTTTGAAACTGTTGATCGTTATTCAATTTTATTTAGTCTGTGTGATTACAATTCTGGAGATGTCACAATTAATTATATCGTAGCGTAATATTATTTAAAAAAATGATTAATTAATTAGAAACGTGTATTTTCTCAACAAATTCTTTTGTTATCCCGTGAGATGTAGAAGAAGAAGAAATTAATTTGCGACTTATAAAAATGAACAGATGTCTATTTATTTTATTTCATAATTGAATCTCAGAAATCGATATCTCGTTTTAAGAGTAAATATTGATATTTCATCAGCAGATATTGCCGGGTACGCGTGTTTAATAACATTTCTGAATAGAATTCACAATTCACACTATTCTTGGATTTATTCCGGTTTCTTTATTAGTCTCCATAATGGCGTAATAAAATCTGTAGCCGATTTAGTTTACGAGATTAATATTCCAATTCCAGGAAAAAACTCTAGCCGTGTGACTTCATATGATTTCGTAATGGTGCCTGGTCGCGGGCGAGATACTTTCGAGTGACTGGTCGAAAACTGTGCGAGAAATTCGAGTCAAAGAAATGAAACAAGAGTCGGACGATGACGTTTGCGTGGCACGCAATCGTGACCTCGCATCGAAACGACACTTGTAGTCCTCGTAAAATCCTGGAAATCCACGTATTACGCTTTTTACACCGCACCGCAGCCGTAACGGTTCCGCGTGCGAGGAAAGAGGGGGAGAAAAAAAGCGCGACCGCGTTCTCGACAAGGAAAATTAGAAATTACAATTACCGCATTTCCTAATACACGCACTTTACCGGGAGCGTGAGAAATCGAACGCGCGGTCCGCGATTTTTACCGATACGTCTCGCGATTATTATCCCGTCGATCCCGACGATACCCCGTTTGATTAGCGGATTGATATCGTTAGGGATTATAGTATCCGTCGTTGACTTCTTATCGCATACATCTCCTCGCATCGTCTAATTACTAAATGAAAACAATTCTTTTTAATGTATTTTGGGGCGCTGAATCCGCAAGGCAAAATGGCTTATCAGATCAAGTTTTCGAAAAAAACAGGGTTGAAATCTCCTAAAACACACGTTTTTTTACCATTTTTGAAAATTCATAGAAACAGGGCTCAAATGAAAGTTTGAACATTATACTTTAATATAAAAATATCGAATCTTTTATCGCGGGTACAATCGAATCTCAGGCGCGCTTTATTTTTAGGTGTAGTCGCACTGTGTTAAAGAACTATTGTCCCATATAGTCCGATTGCAGGTAAAAGATTCGATATTTTTATATTAAAATACAATGTTCAAGCTTTCATTTGACCTGTGTCTTAGATCTCTTGCACATCGGGTTCGTCTGCAACAAATTTTCAAAAATAAAAGCGGTAAAAAACGCATTTTTGGGGGGTTTCAAATGTTTTTCTTGAAAACCTGACCTTAGAAATTTTTTAGATTTTTTGATGACGGTTTAAAAGTACTCTAGAAACAGTGTTCAAATGCTCTGCCACAAAACCTTGTAAACTAATATTATAGACTAGCAGTTCTCGTGAATGGACTGTTTATATAAATGTATATTTTGCTAACACACTTTATGAGCATACAATTCTTATAATAGACGTGTAAGAACTGTTTATATAAATGTATATTTTGCTAACACACTTTATGAGCAAACAATTTTCATAATAGACGTGTAAGACGATCAATTTTCAACGATCTATTAATTCCTGGCAGAATATTAATCATCCTTTACGCCTAAGATTCCCGACATGATACAACATTTCTTCAACATGTCGTGAGTATTTTACTGTTACTAATTCGCGGATATGTTGAAGCGCTCCCCTCATACTTGTACGAATCCAAGGGAAGCACGGCAAGTTGACCAAAGTCATCAAGGTGTAAATCGACAGCTTCCTCTTTACTTGTACATTGTCATAACGGTGGTTTTTCGGGCCGCATCCGTTTTGCGAAGAAAGCGGATCGCGTACTTCGATACTTGGCATCCGCGCGCGGGTCGCTTCCGGTACGAAACGTGCGGTTTCCGGCGAGCATACAATATCGGCTACGCGCCTCGGCATATCGATAGTCAGTAAGAACGAGGCTCTCGCGAGCGCCGGTCGAATCGACGCGGCACTCCTGGTTTACTTTCAAATCGACACAAAGACTTACGAAGTATTCATACACACTCTTGCAAACTCCTTCAAAATTTATATAATTTATATAATTATAAATTTATTAATAGATATTGTGTCTGTGGGCTGTTGCCTGCGAGTGATAAATCAAAGTGAGCGTGTTCGACAGATGATGGTGTCTAATATTTAAAGAACCTCGGATTGAACGTTAATTATATTCAAAAATCGGCCGATTGTATCGGGGCGATTCTACAAAGATTCTCCCTTTACGTTGATGCATCAACGCGACCGTCTTCGCCTCAAGATATTACGGGAGTATCCCCGCATTCCGGATCGGCGAGCCGGCATTATGAAATACCGGAGTGGAAACGCTCGACGTGCCCCGATGAGAGGTGTGCTTTTGTGTGTGTGTGTATCCGAGAGTTTTCCGCACGAATCTCTCCCTCTTTTCCCTGCGCTGTCGGAGCAGAACTCCTTTGTTCCTCATTCGCGAAGTGGTTATCTGTCTCGAGTGAATTTCCCGAGAAATTCGCTACAACATGGTCGATGACCTATTTCTTGCGGCAAAATTCTACTTTGATTCCTTTGAGAAAAAGAGAGATCAAGCAACTACGCCTACGTAGCGCGAAAACCATCGGTCGAAACGATTTTTTTTTCAACGATATTCGTAAATTAAAGATTGCCAATCATCGATCTTTTTTTAGCATTTTTACATATATTTTTATTGACGTTTAAACGGTACATCAGTATTTTTAAATCTTGTCTTAAATTTTTTTGTTTGTTACGTGCCTTTTAAGCATCAACAAAAACATATGTAAAACGCCAAAAAGGTCGACCTCTAATATTCTTTAAAAAGATTCCTAAAAATCATCAGTTTACTATTAAAGCAAACTGGGTCTGTAAGTCTTATATGGAACGCACACGAAAATATATAATATCTTCGTAAGTTCCTAAAGTTTACAAGTACATTCCGGGGAAAAGGAAGTCGATGTTGATGCTAATGTTTTTCTCGAACTTTTCATAATCACACATCACGGCCTTGAATAAAAATAAACATTACATATTATGCACACATTCCAGCGATATTAGTATATAAATTACGAAGCAACGCATAAATAAATTGCGAAACAAGTAAATTGAAACTGGTAATATACGTATACTCGCACGTAGATAAATCTGCCGAGATAATAGCTACGTACAATCACATAGTCGCGATACAATCGCGCAAATGTAAAGTATCGTTATCTAATGATCGACGCTTTCTGTTGCAGCGCCCAGATCCTCGAGCGCGGGTACCAACAACCTGCCGCCGTTGACGTTTCACCACGTCCACGGTGACAACATCAGGCTGTGCAATGGCGGCACGATCGCCCGGAGGCACGAGAGTTTTTGCAAGGGTGTCACCTTCAGCGCCAGGCCCGTGCGAGTGGGCGAGAAGGTGAGGAATTTTTCGCGACCGCGACTTTTAATCCAATCCCGCTAATTGTGGGAAACCGACGACTATCGTTCCGCTCGAGAGACCGCCGATCGCATTTCTCGAATATTAGAACGGACTATCGACAGCAATCATGAAACGGGAGGACAGGAGGGGTAGGGGACCTTTTTATTACGCGAGTCTTGTTTTGCATATCGTTCCGTGTTAGAATTACGAGCTCCCGAGTAGCGATTCGCATGAGCTTATCTTGTATACCTTCTTGTTTGTAGTGTTAGATAACACGAGTGTGATTGGTATAACCGCGCTAAACGGTGGTTTAAACTAAACGATTCTCGATGATGTTAGCCAGTCTTCCAAGATCTTCGTGTAAATGAACGAAGACCGGTCGCTAATAGAGCGTGTGGGCGTCGCGTTAGGCGTATTTTCGGTTTCTTTACGACGGATCGAAGCTAATCGCGCTGGCACGATGTAAAATTATAATCACGTGGGACGTGATTCGACACAATTCGCGAGGATGCCTCGGATAAAACTCCATTTTAGGATCGCTCGATCGCTCGTCTCCGCCGTAATTTCAAAACATCATTCCCTTCTCCTTTTCTCTCTGAGAGCTCTATTACACGGCACCCTTAATCGGGTTTAATAACATCCGTAGTTGTAAAACTGGCCAATCACAGCTATTCCTCTGAAGAATGGAATGACTGTGATTGGCCAGCCTTAGAACTACGGATGTTATTAAACCCGATTAGTAAACGTAGTCTGAGAAATTAATGCACGATTAAATTATATGTTTGCTTTTCTTGAACAACGCAGGTCTGCGTCAAGTTTCTGGAGATCTCCGACAATTGGAGCGGCGTGATCCGTTTCGGCTTCACCAGCAACGATCCGATCAACCTACGGAGTGGCCTGCCAAGATACGCGTGTCCAGATTTGACGAACAAGCCCGGCTACTGGGCTAAGGCGCTCGCCGAGCGATTCGCCGAAAGGGACACGGTGCTCTTCTATTACGTCACGTCGGCTGGCGACGTGCATTTTGGTGTCAATGGCGAGGAGAAGGGTCTCTTCTTCAGCGGCGTCGAGACCCGTGGCCCGCTATGGGCGATCATCGACGTTTACGGCAACAGCACGGCGATCGAGTTCGTCGATCCGAATCGCCAGCATTTCAACAACATCCGCAGGGGCGCCGAGCACAGCAACGAGGACAATGCCCAGCACAGCAGGCACTCTGCCATGGACGATGCCAGCAACGCCGGCCGAGACGTTGAAAGGATAATCGTGCCGTCTATGCAGAGCATGTCGATCCATCATGAACCCGACGTCGAGCTACCAGGACTTAGGTTTCAACCCCCCGGCGTCATCTTCACTCCTTTGCCCTTCCACTCGTGAGTATCGATCGCGCTAGGTCGTCTGCCACGCGTTTGTCATCCACCTGATCTAGGTCTAATCAACGCGAGCTAACGTGACGCGTCGTGGAAAAGGTTCTTGCACTCGCTAGTTTTAATTCAGCCTCGAGTCATGCGATCGAGAAAAAAAATTATCTCGGAGCAACTTGTCCGCTTTGAATTTGCTATTTACACGATTAAGTTTTCTGCTTCAAGTCGTCTGGTTAGATTAATAACGCTTTATGCGATTTTTTTCAAAGCAGTTCGCGTAAGTGATATAAGGCGTAATAGTTGAAAGTCATCAGTCTACAATAGAAGGCATTAAGCCATGGAGGAACTGCCAACGATTCTTTGTACCACCGTTCAGCCACATAGAACTAATTCGCCATCCGCTTTTCACGGTTTCCCAAGACTAACTATTTCCTGGTTTTGTTTTTCCGCAGCACTCGGGGCAGAAACATCCGTTTCAGCAACCAACAGTGCGTGGCGACGCGCACCGACACGGAATTCTGTCACGGCTACGCGTTCACGGGTCGACCATTGCTACTGGGTGAGCGACTGGTCGTACAGATTCTCTCAACGGAGCCGATGTACGTGGGCGCTCTAGCTCTGGGCTTGACTTCGTGCGACCCGGCGCGACTCACAGCGGAGGATCTGCCGGACGACAGCGACCTGCTGTTAGATCGCCCCGAATACTGGGTGGTCTCCAAGGACGTGGCATCGAGTCCACAGCCCGGCGACGAGATTGCCTTCACGGTCACGCACTACGGCGAGGTGCAGATGAGCAAAAACGGCGGCCCGCCCAACGTCGTCATGCACGTCGATCAGAGTCTCCAGCTATGGGCATTCGTGGACGCCTACGGGAGTACTCAACGTGTGAGAATGCTAGCCAGCAGACCGACTTCACCGCCTCGACAACGTCAGAGCAACCCATCACCTGCCAACATCGTTCAACAACAGCAACAGCAGCAGCAGCAACACTCGAATCACAGCAACGCTGCTACGGAACTATCGAGATTCTCCGAGATGGTGCAGTTTAAGCCGGCCGTGGGCGGCGGCACCGTACTCGTCGTGAATCTGCCACCGCAGGCCGGTTACCCGACGCCACCGCCACCCACGCCGCAACCGATCTACGCGTCCGCGACGCACAGAAATCCACCGCCGCAGCCGGTGCATCTCTCCGCGGCCGCACCCGCGCCGATACCGCATCCCGGTTCCTCGAGACAATCCTCACCGCCGTTAACCGGCACCATGGCCAGCACCGGTTCGTCCACGTACGTCGACCCGGTCACCTATCAGAGCCTGGAGGGCACCTTGACGCACGCGGCGCACGCAACGTCGTCCCACTTGCAGCAGTGGAGCGAAGGTCTGCAGCCGACTCTCGCCGGCCAGCCGAGCGAGTGCTCCATCTGCTACGAGCGCAGCATCGACAGCGTGCTCTACATGTGCGGCCACATGTGCATGTGCTACACCTGCGCGATTCAACAATGGCGCGGCAAGGGCGGCGGCCACTGTCCGCTCTGCCGGGCACCGATCCGCGACGTTATCCGCATCTACCGCTCCTGAACGGTTCCGAATTGAGAGAACGTGAGAGTGAGAGAGAGAGAGAGAGAGATCGCGGATGTGCTTATACCCGGTTTCCACCGCCGCCGCGTCCATCATTGTGCTTCCGTCGTCTTGGTTTCCTTCCGCGTCGAATCCACCGCGCTTCATCCCCGTCGCCCTTCTCGCCCGTGTCCCCTTGCGACTAGCGGAACAAATAAACGAACGTAGAATCGAAGCGGAAGCCGCCGTTTTCACTGCCACTATATCTTGTTTTTTTGTTTTTTTTTTTAATGAAACGTGAGGCGCGTAAAATATACGAGGAAGTAATATAATTATTTGTTAACGTGACGCCTCGCGTCAAATTATACGGATTAAAATTAAGCAGTTCCCGACGTGCCAATGATACCGCGTCGCTGTCAATTAACATGTCAATAGGTGGACCATCGCATCGTGCACAAAGAAAGCAGTGCTTTCAAAATCGCGATCACTGCCGCCGTTACTTATCAGGCGAGAATACGGAGATGAATCGCCGCGGATTCGAACGAATGAGAGAGAGAGAGAGAGAATGAGAGAATGAGTGACAAATCGCTGTAGTTGATTGAGTTTGCTTGTATATCGATATGCTGTCTGCCAGTCTGTGAGTGAGAGAAACGCGTGAATGAATGCGATTACGTCATCGACAAAAAGAGACAGATCGATGCTAGATATTTTCACAAGCGATATAATCGTCACTACAATTACCACGATTACTAGTACCGCTCTGAACTATTACTACTACTATCGCTATTACTATTACTATACTATCATACTACTCTTCCAACCTTTAATATTATTATTTTATTATCATTATCATTATATTACTATTATATTTTTATTATTAATATTAATACTATCGTTATTATCGATTACATTATTAGTTATTCGACCATTATAATTGTCTTTAATTACTCGCGAGCAGCTTTGTTTGCCACAATTGCTATTATTTTTACGATTTGCCGATTATAGTATGATTGGTGAATTAACATAGTCATTATCTCGTAGCATGATTATTATTTAATGGACCGTGTGATTTAGTGCGAACTTTACCGAATCTACGACGCCTAGGGCATTTGGAAAGCTTATTCGCGCATTCCGCCGTCCTCTAGGACGATCGAAAAGTTCTTGTTTGTCGTCCTGCATCTTAATCACGAGAAAGTGATGGGCTCGGGATACAAAACTGTTTAGTTCTTTCGCCGATCATTTTCGTTTTCAACGATAACGCTTGAACGTTTATGATCGCCGCCAATGTTTCAGGCGGGATTTTACCAAAGATCCTAAGCGTCTGTTTCTCTGCCCTTCGCGATACTTAACTCGCGTGCGGGCAGCCCCGAAGATGACAGTTCGCTTAAATCTAATTGAACGACATCCGTTTTGCTGCAACGCTAAAACGTTAGACAGATTAATTAGATCGACAGATCGTGGCACAAATATCGCGTTTGATTAATTACATCCGACAATCAGACCCTATAAGCGCAATTTTCTTATAAAAAGTTTAATATGGAAGTTGATGTAATCGTTGCGAATTTTCATAGTAAAACCTTGTTTTGGATACTATTCGACGGAATTTGGAGCGATAAAAGATTTAAATTTGTTTCAAATTCCGCCGACAAACACGTTACTTTCGTATTTTTATTTTCAGCAACTCATGTTGAGCCTTCGGATAAAAAATTCTGCTTAATTTTCGAGGTAATGCTTCGTGCCTCGAGTGTTTTGTTAACTGCGTGTTTGTAAAAAATTTCATCTCGAAAAGACATTGCCCTAGGCAAAATTCGCCTGTGAAGGTCTTCGTAAACGCGAATTCGCACGGCGCTCTTTGATCCGTTATGAACGAAACGAAGTTTTGTCCACGACAAGTATCGTAAAAAATTATTTTGCGATTCGTCTGCCCGAGAGAGGAAGACGACGAATTTTCTACGATCAAGAGAAGATGGAAGAAACGATTTTCGAGCCAAGGGAGAGGGAGGGAGAGGCGAAGTGTCTGGCCCTTTAAAGAATTAATTTTTAACGAGAAGCGAAGGAGCAATGTCCTCCTTTCGACTATAATAACGGATGCGCAATAAAGCGGTAGTGAAAATCTCTAGTCCAGCGAGCGGCAGGCTCAGTCTGCCAATCCAAAAAGTATGATAAAAAGAAAAGCGTTTCCCCCTTTTTCCTCTTAAGTAAACGGAAGAGGGAGATAGGTAGAATACAGGGAGAGAGGGAGACCGAGAAATTTTATAGATACGAGGAGGAAGATGCAAATTATATCACGCGCGTCTGCCAGCGAACGGCGTGTCCGAGATTCTATTAAAAAAATATAACAATAGATTATTATTATTATTCTATTGAATATGATATGACGATAAGAACCAGTCCAAAAAACACGTCGCTGACGAAGCGACGATAGAGCGAGCGAGAGAGAAAGAGAGATAGAGTAAGAGAGAGTAATGCTTGATAATAATTACGACGAATGTTTATGATTAACCTATCATCGTTATCGTTCCGATCAGCGTGATTAATTGTCGTATGTTATTCTGTCGTCAGCTTGGCCACGCCTCGATCATTTGCGCAACACTATCGCCTTTATTATTATCGTAATTATACGACTAACGATTATTTAATTCGACATTTATATTCACAAAGTTTAATACATCCGCGAGAGAATACGCGTTTCTTTCCTTTCGTCTTCTTTGCAATATCTATTTTAAGTTTCTCACGTATCAGCGTAACATGCACAAATACGAAACGTTCACGATTTTTACACCACACTTATACATACTCGAAGAAGAACAAAAGTTTTACGTGCGCGATGCGAGAGTTTCTCCGACCGTAATGTAAAGATGCCGACGGAAATTTATACATATGTAATATAATTCGCGCAGCCGCGTGCTGTGTTCTATACAATAAAAAGCCTATAATATCAACGAACGCTATTACGTCTTTCTCAAAGTCCCTTTCTCCAATTTATCTCCTGAGAAGTTCCCCTTTAACGATTCAAGTCTCTGATTAATAAATTCGATAACGCAGAGAGTATGAATGATCCAACTTTTTATTATATCACAAAGACGCGCATAAACTTTTAAGTCTAAAATAAAAACAATGCATAAAATATATAAGACAGCACAAAAAATCAATGTAAAAGTCCTATAAAAACGGTACATTCGAATAAAAAAGGAAAAAAGGTTCATTTATCCCACCAAAATGCATGCAAGTCTTTCAGAAGCGATTATTAATATTCTTCGCCACCGATATCCACAGAATCCGTTGCGACTTCGTGGTAATCTTTCTCTAACGCGGCCAGATCTTCTCTAGCTTCGTTAAATTCGCTCTCGTCCATGTTTTCGGCGACGTACCTGACGGCGCGTTTTATATAATTCGTGAATGAAAATCGTGTTCAGGAGTTTAATTTTAATTTTGCGAAATAAAGATCAACGTAAAGTTTACCAATGGACGAAGGCTCGTTTGCTGAACATGAGATCGAATTTTCTGTTCAGTCTTCTCCACGCTTCCGAGATTGCCGTGGTATTCGCCAACATGGCCATGGCTCTTTGCACCTTCGCCAGATCACCGCCCGGTACCACAGTCGGCGGTTGATAATTGATTCCTACCTATTTATTCCCGAATGAAATTAATAAAATATCACCTGACACTTTACGTTTACAGCGCGTAAAATGAACGTTGACAATCCTTAAATCGTAAAGAATATTCCTGAAAAAGACCAAACGATTAACCTTGAAACCCGTCGGACACCAGTCAACGAACTGTATCGACCTCTTGGTCTTGATGATCGCGATCGAGGCGTTGACGTCCTTTGGCACCACGTCACCTCTGTACAGCAGGCAGCAGGCCATGTACTTTCCTCTTCGCGGATCACACTTGACCATCTGCATAGCCGGCTCGAAGCAGGCCGTGGTGAGCTCCATCACGGTGAGCTGCTCGTGATAAGCCTTCTCGCTGGATACAATGGGTGCGTAGGTGACGAGAGGAAAGTGTATCCTGGGATAGGGCACGAGATTCGTCTGGAACTCGGTGAGATCGATGTTTAGAGCACCGTCGAACCTCAGGGATGCCGTGATCGAGGAGACGATTTGACCGATGAGCCGATTCAGATTCGTGTAGGTCGGTCGTTCGATATCCAAATTGCGTCGGCAAATGTCATAGATCGCCTCGTTGTCGACGAGAAACGCGCAGTCCGAGTTGTCTATGGTGTTGTGAGTGGTGAGGATCGCGTTGTACGGTTCCACGACCGCCGTGGAGATCTGCGGCGACGGATATATGGCGAATTCGAGTTTTGCTTTCTTGCCATAATCCATGGACAGTCGCTCCATCAAGAGACTGGCGAAGCCGGACCCGGTACCCCCGCCGAACGCGTGAAAGATGAGGAAGCCTTGCAGGCCGCCGCACATGTCGGCTATCTTGCGGATTCTATCTAACACGAGGTCGATGAGCTCCTTGCCGAGGGTGTAGAAACCGCGCGCGTAATTGTTGGCGGCGTCCTCCTTGCCGGAGATCAGCTGCTCGGGATGGAACAGCTGGTTGTACGTTCCCGTGCGCACCTCGTCTAAGGACGGGTATGAATTTTGGTATATCTCGTTATCGTTTCGACGTATCTTTCTCCGACGGCCTTACCTATCACCGTCGGTTCGAGATCGAGGAAAACGGCCCTAGGCACGTATTTCCCGCCGCCCGTTTCGCTGAAGAAGGTCTGGAAACCTTCGTCGCTGCTACCACAAGTCTGCGGTGGCAACATACCGTCCGGTTGTATACCGTGCTCCAAGCAATAAAGCTCCCAGCAGGCGTTGCCCATCTGCACGCCGCCTTGGCCAATGTGGATCGAAAGTACCTCGCGCTATTCATTTCAATTAATTAACGTATCTTATCGCAAATCGCATCTCTCTCTATCTCTAGTTATAAAAATATTTTCATAACAAACAGAAAAATCATATGAATCTTGTTTATGAATCCAGATTTTTATCTATAATTTTTAATTTCAAACATATGGAATTATTTCAAGGTTGATAAAGCTTATCTTGAATGATTCAACATTTAATTATGCGGGAGAAAATGTGTAATTTCGAACTGCATTAAGTCTGCAAATAATTAAATTATATATTTTTCGATATTTACCATTTTGAAGATGCTTTTAGCTTGCAGCGGAAAGGTGGGATAAACAAACAATATTGACACCAAAAATGTTTGACGCAAACTGACGGCGAGACGATTTGTTTTGCGATTTTGTTCCCGTTGCCTAGAGAAACCAGCGGAAATCGGTACAAAAATCTAATAAGCTTTGATTTTCAGATACATTTCTTTTACAGCGAATCATATCATTTATACTCTGCATTGCAAAACAATTCAAATAGAAAAATCAATCTCTTAAAAATAATATAAAGAACGCATCTTTTTTACAATTATTTGCAACTAAAGTAAATGATTTATATTTATAAGTTTCACAATAAATTCTGATTCTAAAATATATAAAAATGCTCCGAGTGCATTTTTAAACAGTGTAATCCAATCTGCTTTGCATACCTAAATTTTTAATTCTACTCTCGTCGATTAATATCTCTTTTATGATTATTAATAATATTCTTAATAAAAAACGCGGAAAGGATTGTTGAAAAAATCTTTAATATATATAATTTCTTTTTGGATTAAAATAATATGTATATAATATATATAGATATATATATGTGCGTATACATATATTAAATAGACAATTAAAAAAATATAACAATGTTATTAAAATGCATAGTACATCTCTTATCTCTCGTTATTACTTCTATTTCTAAAAGGCACCATTTAGTTTTTAAATTAATTAATGCAAACGGACGATTAATTGGCAGTATATATGGCTTATAAAAATAATCTCCAAAACAAGATTAGTCAGAGATAGCACTATTTAGTCAAAATGCGAACGCGAGCACACGTTAACGAGCACGTGAGATCTTCTTGCTCTTATCGGTCTCGATGGGAGGTGGCGGGCCTTTGGCGCTTTGGTGACGATTGTAAACGCTGTAAAAAGTGACAATTATCGGCCAGACTCCTCGATCAATAACTATGTTAGTAGTTTTATATTATAATGTTAAAAAAGCAAAAAATTTGCATAAAGTTTAAGCTTCTAAATTTTTTTTGAAATGTTCTTTTTAATTCTTAAGTGAATTGCAACTGCAAAACAGTTCCTAATAACAATAGAAGCACCTACTATCGATATGTTTCCGAGCGAATATAATCCATGACGTGAGATATGCCCACTTGCAGCTGATCGCCAATCGGAGTAACCCATGGATTAAACTCCATTCGAAATACCGCTTTGTTACTCACTAGATCCAAGTTGCCTGTAAGGTAAACTTATGCAGCCTTCTTTTTACGATAAACTTATTTATATTTACCGTATTTTTACTATTCGTACCTATCTCAGGAGGCAATACTGTCAAACGATTTCCTTGAATATGCAACTCTCTAAGACGAGCCAGCTCGCCGATTTCTTTCGGTAATTCGACCAGATCGTTCTCCCTCAGTACAAGCTAAAATGTTTTAATCTCGATAATCTCTATCAAAAAGTCAATTTCGTAAAACTGCGAAAGTATCTGACAATTCTTACAATTTGTAGATTTTTCAACTGGCCAATTTCAGGCGGCAGATATTCAAAATCGTTGTCAGCTAGATAGAGCGCTCTTAGAGTTTCTAGAGAAGAGAAAAATTAATGTGCGATTTACGAGAAGGCGCGTTGAACAATCTAGAAATTATGACTGACCCATCATGAAGAAATTTCCGGGTAAATTCTTTTCGCTGAGATTGTTGTACGTCAGGTCTAGCACCTCGAGAACCGGAAATGCGCCAAAACCGCGAGGAAGCACATCTAATCGGTTCATTCTATCGAAAGTTAAAGTTAAAGCTCTGATAAATCTCTCTCGCGTGATTCACAATTAAAGCTTAGCGTGTCCTAAAAATTATACTGACCCTACGTTTAAGATTCTCAACTTTGGCATTTGCGACAGAGATATAGGCAGCTCGGTGATGCAATTGTTGAAGAGATTCAGTATTTCTAGATTGACTAGATTGGCGAGACCCGGTGGAACCGCTATATCGAAAGCAATTATCGATTTGATGAATCAATTGAATTATCCAATATACACCGCGTACAATTACGTTAAGCTACATTACCTTGAATTTTATTGTGACTTAATGTCAGCCTCGTTACATTAATCATATTCACTGGAACATAAGAAAGTCTCTGTAATTTTAGTAAAAGTTTACCATTGCTTGGTATTTATAATTCACTATCTGGCAATATTGATTATTTGATACTAATTTTATTTATTATTATATTTCTATTTAATTATTATTATATTTCTACTCATAGAACTGGCGAAGCTTGATCGTTTAACTTTCAAACACACCCTGAATATCGCGATAATTTATATATCGTTTACGTTATTCTACGTTAAGCGCCAAGTGTCAAATTTAAAAGGACAGCGCGAGTGCGCGCGCGCGCACTCGCGCTGTCACGCCCACGTGGTCGAGACGCGCTGACGGATGGCCGCGCTAGTGCGGGTCGCGTCGACGAAACCAGCCTCGACAAGTTGCCTAATTTGGCGCGATACGCGCGCGAGCGCGACATAGTGTTGGATGAGACTCACGCAATCCCGGCATCTCCTCGAACGTCGCGATACCCTTGTCCGCGAGATCCAGCTCGGGATTCTGGATCTCCCGGGCCTCGTCCAGCACCTTCTTCGCCTTTGACATCTTCCCCGCAGGAATACACGACACTGGCGCGGTCTGATTCATTGCGCGCGCAATCGCCGTACGATACACGTTAGTCGAAAGGAGGTGTCCGCGGACTCTCGAGCGTGCGCGTCAACACACGCCCGTAGGAGTCGTGCGTACTACTCCGGCGCACTCTGTTTAAGTCGTCCCCATCGACGGAGCCGGCCCCCTTTCTGCTCGTCAGATGGCGGTTCCTGTACCTCATCTGACACGTTCCTTCATCAACGAGGACACATGCAATTTTTCCATTTTTTTAAATGGCCATAACTTTATTCTCTTATTGTTATATATAATAATAATTTAAATTCCTTATGCATTTTTTTTATATATAATAATAATTTAAATTCCTTATGCTTTATTCTCTTATTGTTATATATAATAATAATTTAAATTCCTTATTTTTACTTAATTTTGACTTAATTAAAAAAGTAGTTTATTTAATTTTAATAACTTTTTTCTCGTAATTCTATGAAATTAAAGTGCGAATTAAAAAAAAAAAAAAAGAAAAAGAAACGGAATGTTCTGATAACACTGTGATTCGTTTAAAGCCCCCCTCCCCCCTCCTCCCCCCGAAAAATGCGAAATGAAATTGATCGGCGTCGCGTTAATAAATCGCGCGTAATTACGGACGGGATCGCGAGAAAGAATCGCGCGAGAGATGGCGGCACGGTTTTAAATAAACTGGTTTTAATAATGTTCGAGATCTTTTTATTTTTCTGCAACCGCGCAGCTCGTTGCGGTTGAAACCGGAGCGGCGCGCATTCCGCGACGACGACGACGACGACGATGCGAGATCAGCAGCGACATTAAAGATAACAGGAAAGGAAATTCTCGCGGGATAAGATCTGATGAAGGAGGACACATGCAATTTTTCCATTTTTTTAAATGGCCATAACTTTATTCTCTTATTGTTATATATAATTTTTTCTGCACTAATAATAATTTAAATTCCTTATGCATTTTTTTCTTGCGACTTAATTAAAAAAGTAGTTTATTTAATTTTAATAACTTTTTTCTCGTAATTCTATGAAATTAAAGTGCGAATTAAAAAAAAAAAAAAAAAAAAAAAAAAACGTGATAACACTGTGATTCGTTTAAAGCCCCCCTCCCCCCTCCTCCCCCCGAAAAATGCGAAATGAAATTGATCGGCGTCGCGTTAATAAATCGCGCGTAATTACGGACGGGATCGCGAGAAAGAATCGCGCGAGAGATGGCGGCACGGTTTTAAATAAACTGGTTTTAATAATGTTCGAGATCTTTTTATTTTTCTGCAACCGCGCAGCTCGTTGCGGTTGAAACCGGAGCGGCGCGCATTCCGCGACGACGACGACGACGACGATGCGAGATCAGCAGCGACATTAAAGATAACAGGAAAGGAAATTCTCGCGGGATAAGATCTGATGAAGCGCGAGATTTATGTTGACCCGCGGATCGAAGATTACGGACAGTCGCCCTTTGTGCATCCCCCCGAATTCGTCAATTTAGAAAATAGCAGCACTCAACCATGCGATGCACATATACGCATCTATGTGTCTTATACAATATATTTATCGATAATAGATGATACATTAGAGTTTTCTCAGCTGTTTCCACGGCTGAAAATAAATTTTCCACTTGATTTGAAAAGATTTAATATCCTCGACTTGCGTCATCGAAAAACGATCGTAGATCTTGATTTGTTATCATTTTCCGTATTCTATTAGGAGATTTCTCTTTTCGCATTTTTTGCCGTTTAAATATTCAAATTTAAATATAATATCGCCTCATTACGAGGGAAACGCCTTACGATTATCGGGGTATCGCGGTAGCATTTCCGAAAACTATAAATATCTCGACGGTGCGATGATCCGGCCGGCCCGTTTCCTCCACGTGCCCGGTTTCCTTCTCTCCGTTATCGGCGGCTAAAAGTACGGAGAGAGGAGAGTGTGGCGCCAAACAGCACCCGAGGGCTCGTAAGGTTAGCGACCTTGGCGTGCACGTAAAGGCAAAGGACAGGACGAGAGGAGAGGAGAGAAGAGGAGAGGGGGAGGAGGAGGGGGACGCGCGAGCATGCGACGACGACGATGGAGGGGAAGGGCGCCCACCTCTTCGAGTATCCATCATTGCTATCCGGTAATCAGTGCCAAGCAACATTATCGGTCAATTTACTGACGCCGTGACCGGTCTCGCCGCGCCAAGACGGCGCGGAAAAAGCAAATCTCGTTACCGCAACGAGAGAGGAGAACCAATCGCCTTTCCAAACGCGACGCTCGCAACAGCGGACAACAAGCCGCTGTCCTCCGCACAGTGGTCCTTTATAACGTGCGAGCTCGAACTTTGTAGACTCTGCTCGTTACTCTTTCGCAATAAATTTGTGGATCTAATTAGAATCGAAGAGAGAGAGAGAGAGAGAGAGATCTGGAAATTCTGGATTTTCAAAGTGATTAGAATGATTTCTGGCAAAAAGAATGAAACCTCATCTTTTTTGTTTTGCATTAAAAAAGATTTCGCAGAACCTCTTCGAGAAATCGCCCGACTCGTCCTAAGACGCGTCTAACACGACGAGGGAAGGACGGGAACACGTGTGGCGCGCGTGTGCGCGAGCGCACGTGCGTTCCGTACGCGTGCACGAGAGGATGGATGACGATATAGGGAAGAGGAAGAAAGAATTAAACTCGGCGGTCTCTGGCTGGCGTCCGCGAGAGGAATATTCAGTGCAACGTATATAAAAGCCCGTTATGCACGGCGACC